ACACTTTTCCTATCCTATCCTACACACACTATAAAAAGAGTGAGTTTTGTGGCAACTATTCATAAGCCGTCTGGCCAAGTAAGCCGAGCCATTAAAGCCATATAAGCCGAGCCATTAAAGCCAGCCTTTTTTTTCCTCAGTACGTTTATCTGCCATTTTTTCTCTCAATTTTCAGTGCTCTTTCTTTCTCCAATTTTACACGCACACGCAAACTCCCACTCCTCCATTCTTCACGGCTTCACCCATCTCATCTCTCTCTCTCACACTTCCCCCCTTAGAAACAAGCCCTCCTCTTCAGTCATTTTTTGCACAGTTCTCTCCACCGCCTTCTCCTTCTCTCCACCGCCTTCTCCTTCTTATCTTCTCTCTTATTTTACATCCTACCTCTTTTGCTTTTGTCTTCTACCATTTCCCTTTGTTCTGCGATCAAACCCTAGCGGTCAAAAATTTCTACAAATCTCAAAATTTCAGCAGATGCAAGGAAATCTCCATAAATCTCTCTTCTGAGGTAACTTCGAAGCTTCGATTTAGGTTTTATTCAGATTTATTTGATTAATTTTTGGGATTTTATTTCCAAATCGAGGCTGGATTCTTCATTTGGATCTCCAAACTCAAACTTCTTCATCCTTTCTGCTATCGCTTGGTGCTCTAGACAATCTCTTGACTCAATATTTTTTTTTTTGATATTAACGACAAGATCTTCGTCGATGGCGCCGATTAGATCGAATTCCCTATGAACCTAATGTACTGTGTTTACGGTAAGATCTATACTTGGTGAGCTTTGAATTTTTTAATTTTGGTTGCCATTTTTTCCTTCCTGTTGGGTTTATTTATTTTTTGTGTTCCTTCTTTCAATAACATTAGTACTAACACAATTTTTTTCACGGCCCTCATTGACGTTCCTCAACAGTTCAGCTTTGGAGCTGGGCAAACTCGAAAGAGTACGAAAGCACATTCAGCGCAAACACAAACATCAGTAATGGTAATGATATTCCCACGGATGGTACTTGATGCTTTTTAGTTTCCAATTCATATCTGTTAAACGGTAATAATTACTTGAAGCTGGGATGTGAATTTTCTGGAGTATTGTGGGATTTCGAGAGT